CGGGGATTTAAGAAGATGCAATGAAAGAATAAGGCCAGTGGGTTTCAAACCAGCACACAGGCCTGCCCTAGTCCACAGGTACATCTGCAGAGCAAATCCCTTACGTCGGGGGCTGTCACTCAGATCTCTTAATGTTCTTTCTCTGAGTGTGAGCTTGCCCACGAAGACTGAGTGCTCGACTCGGAGCGAGGATGATCTTCCCCTAGTGAAGAAAGCAGAGTCTCAGAGGGCCAAGCACCGGGAAGGGATCCAGGTGAACAGGGCGGGGGAGGAGTAAGGAGCAAACAAGCATGTTGAGTCCAAAAGAAGCCAAAAGCGGCTGGTTTGTCCTATATTTGGCTGTACACACACCAACTCCAAATGAACTAAATCAAATCTGCTTCTGTTGAAGCATTTTATTTTATATTTTATTTTGGATTTTTTTTTTTTTTTTTTTTTTTTTGTCTTTTGGAAACAGGGTCTCACTATGCAGTTCAGGCTGGCCTTAAACTCACTTTGTAGCCCAGGCTGCCCTCAAACTTGCAGCAATCCTCCTCCCTCAGCCTCTGGAGTGCTGAGATTACAGGCGTGAGCCACCACGTCTGGCTTGTTGAAGCATTTTAAAGTAAATTCTACTAAGACATTTTACCTCTAAATCTTTCAGGAGACATCTCTGAGACACAAAGACATCTTCCCACGGTTTGTTTTGTGTGATGACTGTAAACAGCTAAGGGAGAGGAGAACAAAACAGAGCTCATGTTCCTCCTTAGGGGTGAGGATGTGGGGCAGGGACACTCAAACCAAGTGCTGCATCATCACATTTCTTTGGGGTAATCAGGTCAGGAGGGTGAAGCTCATGGCGCTGTGGGACTACATAAAAGGGAAGCCCTCCCGGGTGGTGGGAGGTGAGGGAAGGATGAGGGGTCTGGAAAGACTCCTCTCAGGAAGGGACCCTCCGGGCAGAAGGAACTGCACATGGGATGGCCCTGAGGAGGAGCAAGGGCAGCAGGCTGGATGGAAAGTAAGCATGGACTCCAGGGTCTCCTCTACCCTGGTGACCCATTGGCTCCTATGCTCAGCTTCCCTATCAGTAGAATGGGTCTGGTAACAGCTGTGTTTGAAATGACGGTCGACACTTAGTAAGCACTCAACCACCTTATCTTAACATGTTCGTTATGAGTATGTCCAGAGCCATCTCTAATCCAGGGGGAACCAGAAACATGGCAGGAAGCAGGTGACAAGGTCAGGTCTATATTCTTCATTTTCAGCTCCATTTTCATTCCATACTTTCACCTAATAGTGCCTGTGTCCTCACATCTTTGCCAACACTAGCTAGGATTAAACTTTTCAATTTTTTACCAACTAGATAGATTTAAAAATAGCAGCACCTTTTTGAAATTCCATTTCTCTCTCTTTTTTTTTTTTTGTCTTTTTGAGACAAGGTCTCACTATGCAGTTCAGGCTGCATAGTGAGACCTTGTCACCTTGAGCTCACTTTGTAGCCTAGGCTGGTCTCGAACTCACAACAATCCTCCTGCCTCAGCCTCCCAAGTGCTGGGATTACATTCATGCACCACCACACCCAGCTAAAACTCCATTTCTCTGTGACAGGTTGAGTAGTTGTTTGTACTTACTGACAGTTTGCAATTCTTCTGGGAAATACTTGTCACTAATCAGTTCATTTTTTGGTTTATTCGCCATCTTGGTATTTATTTACAGATGCTTTTCATATATTGTGACATTAACCCTTGTTGGCTGATATCTGTAGTCATTTTTTTTTCCTCCCAGTCTGGCTCTGTGTTTCAATACTGTTTTTCCTTCAAAATGGATTTTACTTCAAAAATTTCATATGTTAAGGCATGGAAAGAAGAAGAGGGAGCTTCCATACTCCCCATCTGGGTTTGGAAGGATGGTGACATTTTGTCGTATCTGCTTTATCTTATTTCTATGGAAGTATTTTAATGGGAGTTAGACATTAAGACAATTCTATCCTATGGGCTGCGGATGCAGCTCGGGAGCACAAGCGCCTGCCTGGCAAGTGCAAGGTCCTGAGTTCAATTCCCAGTACCAAAGAATGAAAGATAATTCTCTCCTAAATACTTTAATATTCATCTCTTAAAAGTGGATATATTTTCTCACAAAACCACAGTGACATTGTCACAGATCCGTACCTTTGACTCTAAAGCTTTGATCCTCTTGTAGTCCAAACTGTCTGACTTTTGTTTTGCACCTCCATCTGGTTTAGGAAGGACTTCCTCATGCAAAGATTATAAAAATGCTTACCTACAGTGTCATCTGCGACTTTTATCGTGTTATTTTTTATATTTAGATCCTCAGTCCATCTGGAATTTATTTCTGTGCAGAATTTGAGGTGCAGAGCTTACCATTTGTTAGACATTTAGGTAATTCATTCTTCAGCAGAACTTTGAAATGTTATCCTTCACAAATTCTAAGTGCTATACATATGGCAACCCAACTTCTTTTCTTGCTTAAAATCTAATCATTTTCCACTATCCTTAGGATAAAATTCAAAGTTCCTTACCCTGACCTAGAGAGACTGCTTCTGAAATTCATCTACCACCCCAAGGAGTGCGGGCGTTTCAAGCTCATCCCGGCGGAGCTCTGAGCTGACTTGCCCCACAGTTCCCTCAGCTTATGCCCAGCCTCCGGGCTGCAACCGCTGGGGCCGCGGCACCCGCAGGGTCACCTCCCAGGCTGCCTTAGGCCACTCTGTGCACCGTGTCCACCCGAGCCACCACATCCTGTCATGCTGTCCCCCAGCATTTCTCACTGCTCCAGATCACTCTTTTGTCAGGAGGCGAGGAGACCTTGCAGGTCAGGTTCACAGCTGTTGCCCCTACTGTAGCAGTCACTCCAAGTTGGGGAGCTGTTGGTTCAAAAAGATGCGCTCTGACAATTCTGAGAGACGCCGCCAAGCTGCCCCAAGCAAGGCCGGACCAACGAACCTCCCGCTTCCGCTTGGCAGTGCACGGTCTTCCTGAACCTTTTGCCAAAATGCAAACCTCAGGAGACCAAGGAAAAACAAAGGTGACCTTATTGGTGTTCTGCACTGCAGTTCTCTACATCTAAGTGTAGTTGGGCATGATTTCACATTTATTAGCCATATCTATGTCTAGCTACTGTCTATCTGGACAGTCCCCAGCTTAGGATGGTTTGACTTACAATTTTAAAAATTTATGATGGCAAAAGAGTGATATGGATTCAGTATAAGCAGAGCTTCAAATTTTGAATTTTTATCTTTTCCCAGGCCAGCCACAGACGATGCTGTCTGGAAATGCTGGGTGGTTGTGGAGACCACAGTCCCCATCGCCACGGGGGTTCACACTCCTCTGCAGCGTGCTGTGCTGCTGAGCCATGGTGCGTGGTAGGGCTTGTGTATTCAACACATTCTGAACTTACAAGATTTTCAATGCACAATGGATTTTTCAGGACATGAGCCCACCATAAACTGAGGAGCATCTATATGGGTTTTTTCCCACTAACTACCTTTTAATATCCTTTTCCAATTTTTCTCTTTAGTTATTATTCTAATGATTTGTATGAATTCTGCTTGTTGAAGAAGTAGTGTCTGCTATACGTGCTCTAAGTATTTATCCTAGTTTTGACCTTGTTATGAACTTAATATATATATCCTGCAGAAGTCTTATGTTTTAGGTAGTCAGTTTTACCAAATTTTCAATTTTCTTAAACCATTCTTAGATTTTCTTATTCCAAGATCTATCTCAAGCTGGGGATACAGCTCAGTGGCACAAGTGCCTGCCTGGCAAGTGCAAGGTCCTGAGTTCGATTCCTGATATACAAAAAAGTGACAAGATCTATTTTACATATATATGTATAGATAAATCATCTATGTGTATGCACATACTATCTATTTACTACCTATGTTTTAGTCTAGCAGTTTTATGGGCTTGACTCTGAAACTTTTAATCCATCTAGAATTCATTTTGATATGAGACAGGAGATGGAGAATCTGGCCTTTTCACTCTCCCTCTCCCCAAGTGGAGAGCCAGTTACGTGAAGATCAGCTGCTAACAGCTCTCCCTTTTCACTGCGGATTTGAAGTGCCGCTTTCATCACCTACAGGACTCAGTTTCCACCTGCACTGTGATGTATCCATTTATAGCCCCTTTTCCTTTGATGTGTCTCTTTCTGTTTTGTTGCTGCTTCTATCATAGTTAAAATATTTTCATATTTGATAGGCTCACTCTTCCCTTTTTAGTTTTCTGGCTATTCGTGTATGTCTTGCTTTTCAAAAGAATTTGCACTGTGACTGCAGGATCAGGAGAGGCGAGGACAGATACAGGATGTCCGCATGGATGTGATATAGTCCTTATATACTGCACTGAAGGGATCAACAATTAAAATAAACTTTGTCTGTGCGGCATCCAACGTGACTGTGCTCCCAGGTACTGGAGAAACAGTGGCCACAGCACTGCCACTTAGATGGGGCCATGACAGCTCGCTGGTCGGTCCCCATCGCTCAGGCAAAAGCCTGATTGTAAGGGGGTTGGGCATGTGAAAACCATTCAGGTGGTCACTTATGTGATATGCACTTTTCTGTATAATTATAATGCAATAAAATGTTTTAAGAGCTTTAAATGTCCTGCAAGTCTTGCCATATAGTTTTGTGCCAACTGCTGGTAATAAGATGTGTTTCCCGTGCCCTTGGACAGGTCAGACAGGGGTGGAGCAGGGGGTGGCTCTTGGAAAACACTTCCTTAGCAAGAACAAGGCCCCCAGCTGGGTCTGACTCCCAGCGCCACCCGTCATCCTGAGCAACAGACTAATAAGACATGACACAGCTCTAATGAAACATACAGGCAGCAGTTTTCTTTAGAGTTCGGATGTTTCTGCAAACAAATTCATCTTCATCAAAGCCCTGTGGGTCTGAAAAGGACCACAGATGAGATCAGAGGCCAGCCACAACATTCACGGGATGAAAAGATATCAGCAAAGTTATCCGTAGGGCCAGATTAGACAATAGTGCCAAAGGCCAGAGCCTCGTATCCTTACCTTTTAGTCTTTATTAAAGGTTTCCAGAGATCAGTGGAAAATGTTACCCTCACCTCACACAGATCCAATTAAGAAGCGGGGCTGCAGAGAATAACTATCTTGCACTGGGCTGTCACAAACACTTACTTGGATCTGAGGAACACACACCACACCCTTCCACCCTGGGCGATTCTGGCTTTTAGGCTTCTTCGCTCTCAGCTTTCAGAGTCTCCCTCTGCGTGAGCACCCCAAGCACTGGCGTTAATGAAGGGTCTGTTTCCTGATACTAAAATCTCCCTGTGAAACAGAAGCTGCTGCTTTCCATGGACATCCAAATGGTGATGTTTTTCTTCTCTTTAAAAACAGTATAAAATACCCGTTTCCTTCTGTGGGTAGCTATGGAGACTAATAGCAAATATTTCAGTGGCGGAGTAAAACTAAAGAAGACAACACTCCTCGAGGGTGTCTATTAATATGTTTCACATTGAAAAACAATAAAACCAGCATCCTTAAATTTTAACCTGCATGTTTTCAGCTTCTAGTCCCGTTGGTCTTGCTTATTGGGAGACAGATGACTAGGGGAGGCCGGCAGTTGCTTGTCAGGGGAGAACCTGGGTTTTCTCCAGGGCCCCTCAAGGCCTCTTCATCTCCAATTTCCTGCCTGCAGGGCTCCTTCCACTTCTCTGTCTGCCCTTCAATTCAGAACAGTTTCTCCCTCCCAGCCTCCAGGAACTAGACGCTTGTGTCTTGCTAACTTTAAAAGGCTTCTCTCCACTCAAGAGTCCCCCAGACACCTTCCTAAGAGGGTGCCCTCACTTTTAGTGTACACTTCAGCCTGCCCCAGGTGTAGAATCTGCTGTCTGGAAAGCTTCTGGAGTCTTCTGTCAGCTAAACTTCAGCTCCAGTTTCTCAAAATCTAATTGCAGAGTTGCCAGCTTTTGTTGTTTCCCTAAACAAATGTGTCCATGGAACCCTTCTGAACTGTTGAGGCGGGGATTCGTGTAAGGTTTCTGATGAAATTCTACAAAGAGTCTCAGACCAGGGTTCAAAACACAACCGAGGGAGTGCAGGCCTTGCCAGTGCCAGCCCACAGGTTATTCAGACAGTAGGCCTGAAGGGTGGTGGGGTGCCACAGGTCCTGTTCTGGGTAAGGGTCTGCACTGGAGCTCTGGGTGCGGAGCAAGGATGGGGCAGGGGTGAGGGCTCCTGCTCAGAGGATGACGGTGTGCGGACAGCAGGCAGGCAGAAGATAAAAGTAACAAGAGGAAGGAGGACCCAGCTGGGCAAGGTCACTCACTTCAAGGTTACTCACATGGAGCCAGAACACTGACAAGCCCACACAATGGAGTTTCCAAGGGCATAACTGTGCCCACACCTATGGGTGGCGCACATTTATCTCCCTGTCACCTTTCACGCTGCAATCTGATGGAGACGAAGAAACCTTTGTGTTTTTAACTTTTGAATTTTAGCTGTTGGATGGTCCACATATTCTATCCACATTGTTCATATTATGAAATGAGGAATCTGGCTTTGGAGAGGGAAAAAGGATGTGATTAAGGAGCAAAGTCCTTTTTGGATCTTTATTTAAATCTTTATTTTATTTTAGCATCTATGTTCTTCATCATATGATGTCTATTGTACAACTTGGTATAATTCTTATCCTTGATTCAGTAAAGAGCTTTGCATTCTTCACAAACCTCATCTCACTGAACCCTGCTTCCTTGGGTTGGGTTCTCCCGGCGGGTAAGCTCTGAGTCTGGGATGGAGATAGAGGGGTTTATTAAGGAGAGGCTCCCACCAGCGGGGCAGGGGCAGCGGCAGGGACGGTATGGAGCCCAGCAAGGGTGTGATGTCCTGTGAAGTCCCAACCCCAGGTGAGTGGGGGTGGGAGGTGGGGTGGCCACAGGGCTCTCCCTATGGGCTGAGCGGCTCCAGGGCCAGGTTGCAGGTGTCAACTTTTAACAGCGAAGCACTTAGCTGGGGCTGGCCACGCAGGGCTAGCAGGGACCTCAGGGGACCGCCAAGAGCACTGGCCACAGTGTGTCACCTCCGGGCCTGCCTGTGTCTGCCACCAGCCTCAGTTAGGGGTCCTTCATCAGGTTCTGCTGCAAGAGGAAGCGGATAATATCTTTTGAAAGCCCTGGGGTCTGCTTTTCATCATCCAGAGACACGCTTCCTTCATGCAGTGGGTAGAAGCGGGAGTCCCTGCAATGCCTCCGCAGGGCTGAGCAGCCATCCCTGGCGAAGATGACCCGGGCCATCTGGAAGCTGCGGAGGGCATACTTCCGACTTCCCTGGCCCCTCAGTTCAGTGATTTTCCGAGACAGGCACCGGCAGACAGATGCTGAGAGTGGGTCCTCAGAGGCTGGCTGGGGACGACCGAACACTTCATAGAATCTGTCCAGGGATTCTCGAAGTCCACTGTCCTCTTCCTTGGCCTTCAGCTGGCCTTTGGCAGACGGGCCAAGCCAGAGGTCTTCGAAGGTCCAAGAGTCTTTCTGTTCAGTATTTAGGCTGCTGCTGTCTGTAAGACACAACACATTGCAATTCTCAAACACAATCAAAACACCAGAAAGCAAGCCAGCGACAGGTGACGCCCTTTCCAGCCTGGCACACGTCATTCCTGGCCAACTGGCAACGGCAGAATCAGCCGGCTCAGAAGCTGCCCCCTTCCCAGGGTTATGCCACTTGTTCGCTCTCAGTGAGAACACCTCACTCCCTTGTACTGGGTGTTGCTAATCCAGGCTCTGGAGAGAAATTCAGGGTGGCTGTGAACTTGGAGGGGAAAAAGACTTGCCTGTATTTTCACTCACCTCCCATCTGAAATCAAGCATTTCCTTCTTTTTTTTTTTTTTTTTTAAGTGAATATACAATTTATTTAACATTCAAACTTCATTAAGACATGTGCAATATGGCAATTTTACTGGGGTTTAACCCTATCTAGGATATGATTGCTTGCTGGGGTTTAGCAACAGGGTCCAGTTCACACTTAGCACTAATTAAATACTTTATTGAATAAATACAATACCAAAACAAAATGCATTCAAATGCTTTCTTAAAAAAATCAATTTTAAAGGCCTTTTTACTCAGGCTAAAGACAAACACAATAAAGGCAGATACACTAGTTTAACATAATTGGCTGATTTTATACAGCACTTATATCTTTTAGTCCACAAGTATATTATTAAATGATAGAGAACATCTAACACAACCATTTCTACAGAACTAGGAAATAAATTTCTAAGAAAGAAAGATTTTACAGACCCCATCTTTGGCTCTTGTGAGGAAAGTCATTGGCTTTATCCTCTTTAGAGTTAGACTGTTGGGGTGGGTATAAAAGCATTTCCTTCTATGATGGATATAGACAACAAACCACAGCATTCACAGCGGCCCCTGTGACTCTGTTAGCAAGAGATCACACCTGTTTTCACATCAGCTATAGTGTGCTGAAGATGCTCTGGAATACTTCTGTGTATCGCTGTGCCATGCACTGAACTGTAAACTATGTTCCCACAAAATTCATGTGTTGAAGGCTTAACTTCGTATGACTGCACTGTAAAGGGTTTTGAGGAGGTGAAGTTAAAGGAGGTAGTAAGGGTGGAGTTCTAACCCAGCAGGATGGGTGCCCTTGGAAGGAAAGGAAGAGATGAGAAAGAATGAGAATACAAGCATGAATCTTCTCTCTCGCCTTGTGCAAGCACCAAGGAAAGGCTACACAGCCACACAGCACAAGGACAGCTGTCTGCATTTCACCATGAACCAGCGCCTGGCACCCTCACCCTGCACCACCAACCTCCAGCACTGCAGCCAAAGCCACCGGGTTATGGGCTTTTATTACATCCACCTGAGCAGACTAAGACAAACTGCTTGGAAGTTATCCAGACCTCATGGTGGGTCTTATTATTTATGCATTAATGACAAAACATATTATAATATACATTTGTTTAAAAATTGTTCAGTAACTATTTTCAGTGTTTTTTCTTGGTAATCCTATACACAGTATCTTGTTTTATGCATTTACAAATATTGTATTACCTGGGGGTGGTGGCTCACGCCTGCAATCCCAGTACTGGGGAGCCTGAGGTGGGAGGATCACTGTGAGTTCAAGGCCAGCCTGGGCTACAAAGCAAGACCCTGTCTCCAAAAACAAACAAACAAAAAAAACTCCAAACATATATATTATTTTTAGGAACAATCACTCTAGAAGGAGTCCAGAGAGGACAGCTGGTTAAACAGTTCTGAACATTTACATAGTTATTTCCTTTTTGGACTCCCTATAACAATCTTATAGATTATTTATATCTAAATTAAAATCACCATCTTTGTGTTTTTTGAAGGGGGAATAAAAAATAAGCTAAGTATTTAACCATAGACAATAAGAAACCTGAAGCAAAGCCAAATCCTAACCCCTAATTTACTTCTCTCTGCCCCTCTGGCCATCCTCATGCTTAACACAGTGATCTCTTAGGTCTTTTGAAACACAGGGCTTTCTCTCCTACCAATGAAAGGGTTCAAGCAAGGACTTTGTGAAAATAATTTAAATTATTTAACTTGTGGAATTCTACCATTTTATTAAAATATTACACTTTTTTGTTGTTTTTTAGCATAGGGTCTTCTTATATAGTTCAAGCTGGCCTCAGAATCAAGGAAATATTCCTGCTACAGCCTCCTGAGTGCTGGGACTACAGGTGTGTGCCGCCATGCCTGGCTAAAGTATTTTACTTCTTGTCAACGTCTTCCTTTTTGTACATGGATAAATGCTTTGATAATCCATGCCCCTGATAACTGAACAGCCATAATAAATGCATTTGCACTTGCTCATGTTGGAAGGAAGGGCAAGATGGAGCTTTAGGAAAGAGGTGCAGGGCTGGGGATGTGGCTCAGTGGTAGAGCTCCTGCCTTGCATGCACAAGGCCCTGGGTTCGATCCCCAGCATCACATACAGGAAAGAGGTGCAATTTTGCTGTCATTCAACGTGTCTCCTTGGACAAGTCACACAACCTTTCTGGGCCTCAGCTTTATTTTATCTTGAGACTGAGTCTTACTATGTAGCTCAGGCTGGCCTTGAACTCCTGGCAATCCTCCTGCCTCAGCCTCCCAAGTGCTGGGATTACAGATAGGGGCCACCACACCTGGTCTACCTTTCTTATCTTTTAAGCAAAGACTTTATTAGCTGATCTTTCTTCCAGAATGTCTATGGTAATACAAGGACAAGTAGCTGTCTAAAAAGAATGTGGACACATGTTCTAGGAGGCACACACAGAACACATGTGGGTAAGCATTTGTTGACTTAACACACATTCGCAGAAGGCTGATATTAAGACAACTCATGACAAGCTACTGCAAGAGGTAGCAAAAGATGGGGAAGCCCAGGCCCTTCACTTGAGATACTTGGAACCTAACTAGAAAGTGGACCAATTCCTAGACATCAAACTGAAAAGTAGTCATGTAAAAATGTGAGGCAGAACTGACACTGTCTGGACTCAGTGGGCAGAAGCAGCGTGAGGATCAGCATGTAGTGGACCTAGCCGGGAGGCCTCTCTGGAATGCTACTTGCCACTCATGGACCGAAATTCTATGATTAGACAACACAGAAACAGAGGTCGTTTGAACGAAGGTCAAATTGCAAAAAGAAACAGAAAATAAATGACTCTGCAGCTGGTTCTAGTTCTCCTCCTCTACCCCCACCCAGGTCCTCAGCAGCCAGACGGCCTGGGGACCCAAGGACGGTAAGAACTCACAGAGAGGCCACACAGGCTGCTGCAACCAACAGTAGAGACCAAGATTGTTTTCTTAGAGTTCTGTAGGAGGGACAGTTTTCCCACTGTAGTAGTTCCCACAATGCCTAGAACTATGTCCTATGCTCCCTCCGCAAACATGAAGGGCAGAAGGGGCAGGAGAAAGACAGGAAAGAAGCGAAGGAAACCCCTGCTTTGCTAGGCCCAGAGCTTCTGCCCAGCTCCCAACAACCCTGGGGCTGGACCAGCTTCACAGGTGGGTAAAAGGGAAGGGAGGCAACGCTGGCCTCTCTCTGGTCCTCTTCTAGAGAAACAGCAGGAAAAGACTTCTCAGCTCGTATTTTTCAGAAGTGCTGAGTTCCTGAAAATCAAGGAGAGACTAAGAAACTGTTCCAGACTGCAGGAGACTGAAAAGAAACAAAACCATTAAACCCAACAGGCGATTTTGCACTGGATCCTTTTATTAAAGTACATTACTGGAACATTTGGAGCATTGGGAACGAGGTCTGCAGATTACATGGTAGGAATGAATCACTGCTAATTTCCCGGTGTGGATGGTTTAATTTTGTTATGTAAGAGAATGCCCTTGTTTGTAGGACATTTAGGGGTGAAGGGTATCATGTTGCCAATTTATTCTCAAATAATTCATTAAAAAGTTATTTGTGCAGTACTTGCAAATTTTCTATGAGTCTGAGATTGCTTAAAAAATTTTAAACAAAACCCTGGAGGGATGATTACTAAATTTTCTTCGGCAACCTACTTTAAAATTAAAACAATCAATGAAAGAAAGCTTTAGCCCAGGGTTTGGCAAACAGGGCTTGTCTAACGAATGGTACTGCTATTAAAGAGCAAAGGATGGAGAGGGATGTGGACCCGCAGCGCTGGGTGAGGTGTCCTCTGCCACCGCCTTCCCCACAGACGATGTGGTCCAGGCTGGGAAGGCAGGAAGATGAGACAGATTTCTGTCGGCGGGAAGAGGGACAGCGCGGGAAGATCCCTGGCAAAAACACAGGGAAGTTCGAGAATTCCTAAAGAGGGGGCGACACACTAACCTGCACACTTTGATACCCAGGATTTTAAATTCTCACCTGCGTAACACTTTCGGATTTAGCTTAATTTTAATTTTTGAAACCTAGTGTCTACAAAGAAGCCTAAAAACTAACTGTCTCTTCAATTTTTCACGCAAATGTCCCACAGACTGCAATTCATCATCAAAGAAACAGCCCGCTTCTCTCACAGGACGCCGAGTCATTTGATGTCATCGTTTGAACAGGGCCTCAGTGCATCTCAGGCTCTCATTTCCTCTCCTACCGCGGCAGTGCCTTCTCTGTCCTCAGGCAGCTGCGGTGGCCCCTCCCCGCCAGCCCGCCCTGAAGAGGACTATGGACTGAGGGCGGAGCCGAGGTGAGCTGAAGGAGCAGAAGCGAATGCTGAAGCCCAGTGCACTGTAATAGCCTAAGTACCGACCCTAAGCCTCCCAAGGCACTCGGCTATCACACCCCTTCCTGCTGGTACCGTTCATGGGATGTACTCTCCCCTTCTCACATCCTGAGATGGCTTTTTCCCCCTCAGCAAAGGCCCCATTCCAAGGATTCTGGCATCACCTAAATTTCGTAGAAGTTCCCTCTTTATCTCCATGTGCTTTCCATCATGGAAAGGATTTCCTTGGGAATGTACAAGAAGAAAAGGAGGAGGGCAGAGCTTAACATAATAATGCTTTTGCATTCTTTGTTTTAAAGTCACATAAAGACTAAATTTTCTCTTGAGAAAGGAAGGAAGGGAGGAA